CTGGTAAACACTTAGTATAATAGTAACAGTTAGCCAAATATAGTTCCACTACAGGGCACAGGTCTCTTCTCATAATGGGAGGGCCCAATGAGCACTGGGAACCTCACCAGATTCGAACCCGCGCCGCGACGTTCTGCCAAACGATTAGGTTATCACGGCTTCAAAATGTATATACATATTTGAATTATATGTTAAAATACGAACACGTTTTAGCGGCCCGCTAACGACGACTAACAAAGGTTTTAAATTATTAGCCGCTGTCGGCGAGCCGTTGCTCCAATCAGTTGCCAACAAGCTTATTATAACATGTTTGTTGTGGTTACCTGAGCTTATTTCTTTCACAGCAATCGATATGTACGTAGACTAAGCAAGTCCTTTAATAACGTCAGGATGGATCCATGCAAAATAAATACAATAGGGCCCTAAGATAATGTTATAATGATTCAATATCATAATATATATAACGTGGCATTCGAATTTCGATTCAAGCAGACAATAGGCTATTGAGACGGATCGAGAAGGGCATACGTTAAAGCGCTTACGCATTTGCGTGTCGCCAATTATGATTGATTCTTAATTCAAGCACGCCAATTGGAAGAAGCTGTTTCTTTTCTACATTTTGGCGGATTACATTATTAATATTTAAAAAAAAGATTAAAGCGGATTTTTAACTGATTTCATAAAAGGAAGAGGTTCTCAGTTCGACTGTATTTTTTTCTTTTTTTTGTTATGATGAACCGATTTTGATGATTCTTTTATGTAAGAAAGAGGGTACCTCGGTATTGGTCCCATTTACGTTTGAAGAAAGTATTCCACCTCTAAGAGTGGCAAACTAGGGGATGAATCCGGTTTCGCGCACTTTCCGGTAACCGATTTCAATAAATTTGGCAAATAGATGTAATTCCACAAACTTTTGATGTCCGTTTTTTTAGTACTCTGTACTGAGATTATTTAAAGCCGGGTACTCATTAGCGAGCTGTAACTGTAACGTGACAGATACAGTAACGAGGTTCTAGTGTGTACGCTTGAAACCTCAACCAGACGGCTCACTGCGAACCGCACACGTTCCGCTCGCGGCGAGCTCGCCAACCGCATACCTACACGTTATGATTTTTGGTTACATAATATGCAACGGTTACGGTAACTACTCGGTAGTGAGTACCTTTTTTTTTTTTTTTTTTTTTTTTTTGTCGGGGGGGAAATCTTTATGGATACCCCTGAGCCCAGGGAGACTCAGGGGTTATGTGGGGACTCTCCCTCCAGACTGGAGGGCCTACCCCACTCGGTAGTGAGTACCTGGCTTAAACGTATCGATTTTGATATAATGGATTCTAATTTTAAATTAACAATGGTGTCCTTTTGCGCAGATTTAAATGAAATAATTTTAGGATCTTGGCCTCTACCATGAGTCTAAAGTGACAATTGTCACTGAAACGTTTACAATTTGATACTGCAAATTATACAGCGCCTATGACAATCATAAGAAGAAGCACCATTTTGGATAAGTTTGGGGTGGAAATTTGAGACGGGTCAGCCAGAGCAACCTTACCGTCATAGCTAAAGGAAAATGATCCTAGAACACTGTCCATGCATTTTGAAGATATTTCGACTGGTAGTAAGCAAGATAAAAAGTAATTTACTTAATAATAATTTTGAAAAGCATTTAGAGCTCCTTCTGAAAGGGCTTAGTCAATTATGTCTCAGGGTGACGGGCGAAGCAGTGATAGCTTTACGGTCTAAGGCTCTGAGAGGAACTACAGCCGCTACAGGCAGGCGTGTCGCTTAACCACCAGGCGCATGACTTGTTCGTCTCGTTATAAATCTAACAAATTCCTAAGTTTGTTCGAGAAATGGTAACAAAAGAAGCTATCAATTTACAAGACCTTCAATTTTCCCCTTTTCCTCTTCTATTTCCGCTCTCAGGGAATTGTGTAGGACCCTTTCTAAGCCAAAGTTTACTGAATTCCTCATTTTCTGAATGACAATGAAATTTCATCCGATTGGGGACTTCGTAAATAAGAGGTGATAGGTTGTTCGCAATGAAATGCGTACTGATACGAGATGTTTGTGAATTTGTAATTAATTACATTTTTTTGAATTATTTACTGGCACACGTTTGGCCACAAACTCAGCTAATGTTAAGCGATGATGTGACCTAATATGTTCGGTTTGCCTAAATAATGCCTATTAACTCTTGCCTTACTATTTATGTAACACGTTTCAATAAAAATATCAATATACACAGTATCAAAACCGTAACTGATTTCACTTAATACTGTAGAATTCATCTCTAGCCACATACATAATTTCTATATACTAAAAAACCAAGCCACACTAGTAGGCAATCTTAAACAATAACTGGGTATTTCATTAAAAAAAAGCCCGACATTGTATTCGGGAAACACAGTATTCGAAATTGTAAATATTTTTATTTTCTTTGATAATAAATATCATGATAATATTTTTATAATTATCCTATATTATATCCGACAATAACCATGCTGATTCATAGTTTTATCTCGGTTTAATTTTTGACTAAAAAAGGCAGTGAGAAAAATTAAATAAACATGAAGAAAAACTTTACGGAAAATGATTTGGTTTGTGACACTTTTGACATTGACATTACACGTTTGGATACGTCTGTTATCAGAAATTGATATCAGAGATTTGGAGACAAACACTTAAATAACGGCATTACTAACGGTAGCATTTTGTTGTTCCAATTAATTTTATGAATATCAAGATAATAATATATTATCAATGTATATTTTTTATCAATATCATTATCGTGACAATTATCAGTGATAATTATCATTGATATTTATCACTTTAAACCCTGATTCGTCCGGAAAAAAGACTGTTGATATTTGTTAAATCAGTTCTCCAGCAGCACTGCACCGACATGTAAACTATTAGTTTAGGTTACGATGGAACTGCCATACGCATTGAAATAAAGATTTAAAAACGAAAGTCACGGTCATTTATTTGCATCAAAATATAGATAGATATTCTAATGATGTATTAATTTCATATAATAACTAGTTAATACAGTCATTATTATCTTATACTGGTACGTGTATTAAATCCCAGGAATACAAATTAAATAAGAGGAGTTCAATAGTGGCAATGTCAATATTTGCTTATCACGGATAATCAAATTCCGATGACATTTATTAATAAAGCATTTTAGAAAGTTTATAAGGGTACAATCATCTAGCCTAAACTATGTAGATAACCATTATTAAATTCCGAAGTTTTAATAATATTAAAATTAAATTAAAAATATTAAAATTAAATTCCTTAACTATTATAATAATAATAACTATTTCCGTGGCCGAACGGTTACCATGCTGAACTGCCATGCAGAGGTCCCGAGTTTGGTTCCCGGGTCGGAAGAGTATTTGTACGGTCTACATTTAATTCTCTCGTGAGTTTGCGTGTAATTTGTGGTTGTCTGTCTATGGACTATGAGCGTATGCGTTATTATTATTAATGTGCAGATAGTCACACCAATTGCCTGGTCTCAAAATAGGGTATTTCCTGCAATTCCGTTGAATTCACACCAGAACACCTAGGTCAGAACCAATTTAGAGAATTTCCCAAATTGGTTCTACCGGGAGTGGAACCCGGGACTTCCTCATCTAGCGCTCACAGTGCAAACCACCGAGGTCATAGAAGTCTTTACAATACAGGTTTAGCTTTCTTCTTGTTGTTCTTTTACAATACATTACGTAACCCCGTTAACATCTGATTTGAAACGTTATATTGCAATTTATCAATATTATTCTTTAAATAATAATATCTATGTTAACAGGTTAAGGTATTAGTAACTATTATGATAAAATACAAATATCCGCAAGATGGTTGAATGGTTTTAACCGTTATTGATAAATGATTCTCTTGTTATTAGATAAAATAAACAATTGCTATAGTGCTTTGCTTCATGCTTTTCACACTTCGTGTACATGTTTACTTATACAGTTTCGTTTGTTTTAAATTTGAAAACTATCTTTGAATTGTTAGTTATGACTTGTTTTTAATTTTACTAAACGGTTTTTTGAACCTCGGTTTGCTATCAAATTTAATGTCAATTAACTGCTTTTGTTATTTTGTTTTTTTTTCACACTAGGGAAACCCTGTGTCGCGGGTGCCAAGGACACACACATAGACAACCACAAATTACATTCAAACTCACGAGATAAATAAATGTAGGCCAAATAAATATTTCTCCCGGCCAGAATCGAAGTTAAATACGTGTAAAAATGTAGTTAAAGCGGTGCTTAGATTTCAAACACTTTATGTAGGTACCTTCCTTTTTATGCGACTTGAAAAACTCGTAAAATTTCGTACGGAAGGGCTTAATTATATGCTCATTTAAGACGGGAATATAACAATTTATACAGATTTTTGTATTAAAAAAAACTTGTATTTTTAAGTCTACCAGACTGTTTGAATAAACATCAAACTACGAAATTCTTAAAAGGCCACCACACAGTTTAGAGTATTTAGCGTTGCCAGGTGTCGGGATAAAGCCGGACAGTGAGGCTTTTTACATTTTACTTAGTTTTATTTTGTTTTCAGATGATAACCATTGCAATAATAGATGATTATATGTATGTAACTGACTTATTAATTTCTATTTCTACTGTAATTTCATTAGAATTTAAGATCTAGATATATTACAGTTTTTCCCGTTTCTCCTCCAATGACTCGCCTTACAAGATTTTTTGATAAATGACGAAAATACCCTGATTTTTACATTTAAAAAAATTTCCGTATTCAAACTACAATACAAAATCCTTAAAAATGTAGGTGTCCGGCTAAACTGGCTGGTTATTCTGACTATGTAGTTTAAATACCTGACAACCTTAAGAGTACATCTTTTAAAAGTTAGGTGATGTTGTAAACTCTGTTGAGTTGTTGCAGTTTTTTTCTCATTATATGTTACATACGTATGCGATCTATGTACAAAATATTAAAAATCTATTTCTTGTTTTCAGGTTATAGACTTCGGCAGTTCGTGCTATGAGAATCAACGAGTGTATACCTACATCCAGTCTCGGTTCTACCGAGCGCCAGAGGTGATGATGGGCGCGAGGTACGGCATGCCCATTGATATGTGGTCTTTGGGCTGTATATTAGCGGAACTATTGACTGGTAAGTTTTTTATTGGTATGTGGTTTTCCAATAAGGACATAACAATTTTGCATTTCAATAAAACACAGAATAATTGACATATGGAGCTGAAATTTATTCCGGGTACACATGTTACATTTAAGAATGGAATTTGATTTCATTCAAATGACAACTACGAGCACGTTTGCAACGGTCACACAGCTGGTCAAACAATATTTTTTTTGTAAATAATAGACACACGCTTGGCCACAATCTCACCTGATGTTAAGCGACGATGTGACTGACGATGGGAACAACCTTTGCCGTACGAAAGGAAGAAGTAAAGCGCTTAGTGCGAATGGGTGGTATCAACGATATAACAATCGATCTATTGAAGACGGAGTTCTATAATCGTGTATGTCCAGTCGAATGGCCATTTCTCTCTTTGCGATCTAATTTGGATTATTTTTTATAGGGTTACGTTAAGTTGTTGGTTTATGCCAACAAGCCAAAAACGTTAAATGAGCTCAGGAACAATATCACACGCGAAATTGCCAACGTTTCGGCCGATATGTGTGAAAGAGTGGCGGAAAATTAGCTCCAAAGAATCGGACGCTACAAAAGTGTTCGCGGTGGTCAAATGAACGAATCGAACTCCGTTCTTAAATGGTTACATTTAAGAACATGTTAATGTGTACTGCAACTGGAACAAATACTTCAATTAATCTGTGTTTTATTGAAATAAAAAGTTCATTAGCCCATAGTAGTTTAGCCTGGTCCAATGAGACAAACAGGTTAATATGATAATTTTAATTTGGCCCTGTGGTAACACTTTTTTTTGCTCTCCTTCCTGTGCTACCGTAATAAATGTGCTGCTAGAATTTTCTTATTTCTAATATATCGAGGTCTCAATCTGTAATCAGCAACCTATGCAAAGAAGAGGTAACTGTTTTCAGTTCTCTCGTTTTGATGACCTCTGTGGTCGAGTGGCTTGCACACCTAGCTTTCTGTATTGTCTCGGGTTTGGGGATCTACACCCCTCCGTTCGACATCTGTCCGAAATCATTACTGTCTAATAAGTAATAGTTGACCAAATTGAAAAACGCATGATGCGAATGAAGCGTCATTCTTAACATTATCTTTTTATTTGGTCGAGTGTTTTTATTTGACAGTAATTATATCGGACGGATATCGTTGTTTCAGATTTCAATAACGCAAGTGCTCTAGTTACTTACTTTTGGGACCAGAGCAACGTATTTGATGTTGTCAATGTATATTGTGTATCTTTCTCTTACTGTGTCCTAAAGTATCCATATTTTTGTTTTAAGTTCTTATTCTTCTGGGCGTTGTCAGGTGGTTTTTCTTACGGACCAAACCAAACGAATTGTTAACGTATGGAGCGATATATTCATTTGCACATTCAAACTGGCACTGGCAACTTATTCAGTTCAATCGAAAGTTCACGAAAATCATTGAGGCAGATATTTTTAGAGACTGATTACTCAGATCATTTTTACGTGTTTGTTGAAATTACAGTTGCATTTACACGTTAAGATTGTTGTTTTAATTGGTTCCTTTCATAAAAGTTTTTTTAACACATTTTCTTCACGGTATTTCCAGGATTCCCTCTTCTCCCTGGTGAGGACGAAGCGGACCAAATGGCGTGTATAATCGAGCTTCTAGGCATGCCTCCGCAGAAACTCGTCGAACAGGGGAAGAGGTCAAAGAACTTCATCAGCAGCAAGGGTTTGCCGAGATACTGCACTGCTACGACGTTAGCGGACGGCACTACTGTTTTAAGTGGAGGTAAGATTTGTAATGATTTGTAATCCATGCTCCTTTAAACTAAGACTTGACTAAATATTTCTAATTATTCTTAAGTTTTCGCGTGTTGGTTTCTCCGTACCACCAGTTTGGAACCAGTATTTCCTCTGATGAAATATCCCAAACAGACATAGGACTACAGTACTAATTAGTATGTTTTAATTTATTCTCATTTCCATTATTAATTAACAATAAATTTAACTTATTAAAAATTCATATTGTTACAATAAAATAATTTGTAAAAGAATGTGGCGTAAATTGGAATGTTTCTTTGTAAAATTAAAAATAAGGTATTTAATTAATAACTTTTATAATTATAGTTAGGGTGGTTTGCATTAATATTTGACACAACTAAAAGTTGTTTGAAAAAACAAAAATATACGCGATTTAAATCCGGAAAAATAATTTAATTTCCTAAATATTTGAGTATTAAAATATCAAAATTAACTCCAAAGACCCAGGTTCATTTCTAGAATAATCTACCAGCACTAGATAATACTTTAGCTTCATAAAGTGAAAAGAAATCACCAAAAAACATCCAATAGTTACCTCATAGAAAAACGTTTATTGGCAATGAGTCAATGTTGCATTCTGCACTCGTTACGTCACTAACGCCGTATCTTTTAGGATGACACTTTCGCTATAAATAAAATCGTAATCATGTGTTGATAGAGATGAATATTACAAAGACGTTTAGCTGAGTCGGTCTCGTGAAAAATGGAGTAGAAAATTAATTGCGTGGAGTGTTAACGAGTTTATGATGATACTAGACCTACCTAGTTGACGTAGTCGATGACAACATTAACTCCATCATCATATATGACTCTATCGGGGATCTATTATTAAAGAAAAATTGTCAAAAGTTTGTACATATCTATAGCGTTATGCTGTTAGTACAATTTGCAAGCTGAACACCAGAGTGTCTTTGAGAAATAAGTAAAAATTCTTACACTGGCGTCATAGTACATTTATGAAAATGTAATTTATGTTAATAATAATAATCCATTTATTTCAGATACGTTCATTCTAGTATTTGTTAATAAAAAAAAAACTTAGGTTTAAAATAATAAAAAAAAAATTGTATATAGGTACTAAGATAGGAACATAACGTACCCAGCTAATGTCAGGACAACTGGCTACGCATTGGCAGCATTGTGCTAGCGCATCCGCCGCCCCAGCATTGGGGACTTCTCAACAAACATGGTTGACGCGCTAGAGATAGGTGGAAGTCGGAACAGCATCCTGAACGCATTGTTGTACTGGTTGCGCAGTGCTCCATATGTCCGCCGCGTGTAACTGACGCACAGGCTGCACGTGTAAGAAGGCTGGCAATATGCTTTAAAAAAAGAAGAATTAATTTTTTTATGTTAAGATATAAGATGAATGAATTTTTTTTACGAAAAATAGTGATAGACATAACATCAATAAGAGAAATAAAAATAACCAGGCTGTTCGTGACAGTCGTGTTCACAAATTCACAAGGGACACGGTGTAGGCTTCTCTGATAAGATTCAAAATTTGAATATCAACCGGATATAATATTATATGAAATAGAAAGTTTATCCTAAAGATTATTATTATACAGCTTCTGCTTGCGTTCTTGAATGACAAAAATCCATGTTAGTGAAATGTTTAGCTCTCAGGTTGTTCCTCTATGTACAATGTTTGAAATTAATATTGTAAAACAATTTCAACTGCTATGTTCAGGCGTGCCGCTTATTCGTTCTGTCACTTGTTATCATAAAAGGAAATTCAAATGTAGTCGGCTTACCTGCGAAGTAAAGATATATTTACTTTGGTCTAATACAACCACGCCAATATAGCAAACACACTTTTCTAAATAGTTTTGAGTCTGGTTGTTAAGAGTGGTGGTGCCCTTTGAGTTAACAGTACTCATAAGACCATGGTATTCCTTTTATTTCGAGACCGTCTGACGGTCTAGACATCTTATATAATAACTTGTAGGGTTTTTAAAATCCAAATGGGTCTTTGTTTTCCAATATCTACAAAAACTACGCATTTTAATGAAAAACAACTTCGGTCCAACACTTCACTGCAAAATAAACCATTTACTTGAATCGTCGGATTTTATTTGACAGGTAATAACGTGTAATTAATATTTACACGTAATGATATAAAAGGGGATTGACCCTAGCAAATGTTTGTTTGTATGTACGCCGATGACCCTGTCCGAGGTTAATGTAACTATGGGTGTTACCTTGTTAGATGATTTTACTCTAGGTTTTGACAAACTTAATCTTTGACAGTGGGATTGCATACAAACTGCGTTTGACAATGCAATGTTTGGCAATTTTATTTACTATGACTATAGGCTAAGTATTATATTACCTTACTCATCTTTCAAGGGAATTCTCGACTAATCGTCGTGTGGGTTCCTTTTTATATAAGTGTCTAGCTCATTAAGCCGGGTACTCATTAGTCAGCTGCAACTGTAACGTGACAGATACAGTAACGAGGTTCACTAGGACCTAGTGTACGCGTGAAACAGTCTTCACTCGCTAGAATGAATACCTCACTGCGAACCGCACGCGTTCTGCTCGTGACAGACTCGCGAACCACGTACACATTATGATTTTTAGTTACATAATATGCTACGGGTCAGTTTACAGCTCGCTAGCGAGTACCCTGCTTTATATTAATATGTTGTAAAATGTATGTTATAAAAATCATAGTGTGTACGTGGTTCACGAGCTTGCAGCGAGCCGAACGCTCGCGTTTCGCAGTGAGATGACGATAACCAGGTACTCATTCTAGCGAATGAAGACAGGCTTCACGCGTACACACTAGAAATTCGTTACTGTATCTGTCACGTTACAGTTACAACTGGCTAATGAGTACCCGGCTTAATGAGCTAGACACTTGTATAGAAAAGAAAACATACGACGATTAATCGAGAATTCGCTTGAAAGATGAGTACGGTAATATAATACTTAGGCTCAATTTATATTGCGGCGGAACGGAATGGAAGCGGATTTTCGTAACGTACATAGTTCGTTATGATATATTGTACATATCATTATGAACTTTGTGGTACTCTATGGTATGGAGTTACAGCTCTCTAATGAGCCAGTCAAGAAAATTGGTTGGCCCAGAAAAAAATGCCTAATGTCGAGTAAGCGTAAAGTTATGGGACACTTGAAAGTTTCAGGAATTAAGTAAAATTTTGTATCACAGGTAACGATACTGTCCATTTTCTCAATTTATTCGCCTACATCGTCATCCCCACTGATGAAAATATTTAACAAATAAATACTCGATAGAAGTCGCACTTTGAATTGTGTCTAAACGATTTTGAATTTCAATAAAAATGCCTTATTATCTAACGGGAAAATTGTGACTCAATTGTGGGTAAGATTATAACGGATAAAATGTATCACCGAAGTGGACCAATTTATAACTAGGAATCATAATCAAACGGTATGCGGTGGCGTTAAAGAAATATTTTTGTTTTGCCACCTAATCTGAATGTTTACGATCGAAGTGGGTTATTATTCACCCACTCAAAAATCGTCACATATCTCGTCATACAACTCACACAGTAGTGAAGACGGTCTCGTCACCGTCTGAGCACATGACTCAGGAGCTGAAAGCATGAGTTAATCTGTCTGTACTCTTGGTTAACTGCCAATTAAATGGTATTAGTTAGTTCTTGATAGCAACATGTTTATTATTGAGTCCATATTTGAATGTAGATATTCGAAAAAATAGGAATTGTGAAGCATCGTTGCGCACTGGTGTCAATCTGAAGTGGATGTTGCTTTAATTTATTCAATCGAATATATGAGACCCTTACAACCTCTGGTGTTCAAAAAAGAAATCGCCTCCGTCCTTGACTGTCGTCTTCACGAAGTCACAAATTCAATGTGTGCGCTTCTATAATAAGATTCGAGTTAATATTCAAGATTTGCCATTCACGAGGCTTAAAACTATAGTGAAACAAAAACTTTATATACAGCTTCTGCGTACTTGGATGAGAAAGATCCGTGGTAGTGACCTGTTTAGCTCTACAGCTTCTGCGTACTTGGATGAGAAAGATCCGTGGTAGTGACCTGTTTAGCTCTGCTCTTGTAGGTAGTCTCGATCTTGTGATGTTTGAAATAAATATTGCAAGTTTCTTAATCATTATTCTCAAGGGATTGCGCCTTACAAATGAGCAATAGAGTTAAATCAATATGACGATTTCAAGAGTAATTTGCGTACCTATGAAATAAAGGTTATTTAACTTTGACTAACTCTATATTAAATTTTATTCTTTATGTGAAAGGTATATTAAAACTACGTTTTCGGAATAGCATTTACCCTATCGTCGTTTAATAAATGGTGGTTTGAAAATATCGTTTTGACTACCTATTCTATGGGCTTTATAAATATTACAATAAGGGCAGTTTTTCCGATAACAATCTGCCTAACGGTTGACCAAGTCTTGCACGAAAGTGAATGTACTTATTAAGTATTTGCTTTTACATGTTGTATATATAGACAATTTATTACTGTGTTCTGCAAATTAATACTACCACAAATCAGTTAGATGTACATAATGCTTTAATGCTTAATCGCATTGCTACTTAATTTCGAGTTTCTGTGGTATATCGTCATTTGAGACATTTAAAATGTTACATGCATCTAGTAACAAATGACAATTCTTATGAGCTAAAATTTAAATTAACAATACAATTTGACTACAAGTAGTTATACAGAAGTAGAGTAAATTAGTATCAATATTACTTAAGCGAGTTGTCTTTAGAATATGCATTAACTGAGTAATAGCATTTTTTATTTACTAATAATTTGAGTTTTTTACACAATGTGAGATTTTTTCTGTCGTTTTTAGTGTGTCAGGTAATTTGTTGCAGGTTTATTCTGCTCTATTAGTTATTTTCAAAATATTCATTAACTGAGTAATTTTTTTTTTATTTACTAATAATTTGAGGTTATTACAAAATGTGAGGTTTTTCTCTATCGTTTTTATTTAGTGTGTCAGTTAATTTATTGTAGGTTTATACTGATCTCTAATAAAATTACAGGGTGTAGGCAATAAGTTTGTATTTCAGCGGTCACTTTAAAAAAATTCAAAATTATAATATGTGAATATGAAGAGTGCCATAAAACTAAATTACTGTACCAGGATTTTTCTTAATCTCGTAGATTAAAAGTACCGTGCTTGACAGAGGTTATTGATATCGATAGAATTAATTATTAAATACATTTGTTTTCGAACAAGACATGGCAAACTGTTACTAACAGTTGTTAGACAGTGAGAGTATCGTTAAAACCAGTAATTCATCTACTGTGATCGCTACTAATTAGAGTTTTGAACTAAACTTCATATAATTTAGAAACTGCAGGAGTCTCTCACACGGACACAGTTTCTTCGAATTCTAATAATCCCCCACTAAATCAATCTATCTATATTTAGTGTAAGATGTAAGAACTCGAAAAAAAAAACAGTAATATTATTCTATCTCCCTGTAAGGTGACTCACTATGATAATCAAATGGGTTGGTTAACTGCCAAACTAATGTTTAATGGTGTGGATAACTGTCCACAAAGCAGCAGGTGTTTTGTTTATTTGGTCTTGTTTATTTATTAGATTGGTATTCTCACTTGTATGATGGAAGGTTTCGATTAATTTAGTACAATGATCAACGGTACGTCCATTTTACACTTTTACACAAATTTTGGATTTGTATTCAGCTCAGATTCTTATAATAATATTCTATGATAATAATTATACTATTTAGAATAACAACTATATACTACAGCAATTGCATTAAAAATGTTACAATCGTATATATATTGTATACCAGAATGCAACTTTTTATTGGATAGTGAATTCTACGTAAGTGTGTTGTCACACGAATTGCGTTCCGCTGCAGCAGGACTGTAAAATAATAGTCAGAAAGAAGTAGGTGGATACAGTCTGCTCGACAGCACATCGACTTCATGCTCGTCGTCTAGCTACATCACTATTGACTCGATTTTACTAAGTCTAAGATTTTAATTTTTAAGTTTTTATTGAATGTCACAATGTTCTACAGTGATATTCAATTTTTTTTTATGTGAATTTACTCTACTAGTTTGTTATAATTATTAATACAAAGATCGAACGCCAAGAAAAAAATCCGGTCCTCCGATCTGGCTGGACTCGAACCAGCGTCTTCTAACAAATCGTGCTAGACGCTATGCCATCTGAGACGCTATGAATTATTTATTATTATATTCTAATGAATTTAAATGTTTAAGAGATGCCTTATTAAATTTGTCTTCCTAAAAACAGTTGTTATGTAAATTTCAGGTATGTCGAGAAGAGGCAAGCCCAGAGGGCCTCCAGGATCGAAGAGTTTTGCCACTGCACTCAAAGGATGTCAGGACAAGTTTTTTATTGATTTCATTAGACGGTTAGTATTTAGAAATACGTATGTAAACATACTATAAAGCAGATTAAGAAAGGTTTCATTATTCGACACTCCAAAATAACGGGAGACAATACGACTACGTATTGGAACCAAACGTTCGCTGAGTCAGTGACCTTCACCTCCACAACTTTTGTAAAGTTTAAATTCATCATCAATTGCACTTCATCATCATCATCCAGTCCGTCAATAGTCTCATCCAGTCCCAACTTTCATTTCGTCGGATGTCGTCCATGCAGCGCTGTGGTGGTCTACCGCGCCTTCTGGTATCAGCTCGGGGTTCAATTACGCTTAATAATTTACTATTCGAATAAAAAGTGACAAGCAAGGACTACAGTACATACATATGGGATATATAGAGTACCTACATACAAGTAGTTATGCCGATTATCCCATTTATCGAAAACCAAAATTTCGTCACAACCTGCCAGAATGGGACACTCTAATCATTTACATCTCATGCACACGTAATTATTTTTTTCTCTACCACGGACCCTGTTCAGATTTGGCCTCTGGAGGTCAATAATTCAATATATACCCCTTTAAATTATCAATTGGGATTATTCCCACCTGTTATCGAAATTAAACTCGTCTTTTAACACTTCAGATGCCTAGAATGGGACCCGGATAAACGACTAACGCCCGCACAAGCATTACGACACGCGTGGCTCCGCCGCCGCCTTCCACGGCCGCCACACGACGAAGAAACGAACAACCACGTTAGTATAGCGCATCATGCCAAGCGCCTCGCCCCTAAGTGCACTGACAAATAGGTTTGTTTTTGCTTGTTTTGTTTTTATTTTAATAGATTTTTATCGCAACTTTCATTAACAGTTGATAATTCGTATTACATATTTATACATACATACTTTATTGCCTTCGAAACGAAAGTCAAAAGGTATTAAAAGCAATTGTTGCCCGGCACTTAAGGATCTTTGAAGTAAATAAAGTTTTAAATTCAGTACCTACTAGCCGGATTTACATTTCTCTGACGTGTCATGTCGTGACGCGGCAGAACGGTATCGGTTTCATACACACGGCACAAATCTTCATTTCACATTGCGACACATTAATATAAATCTAACCATAATAAATGTATAAAACCATGTCAGACAAATGTAAATCCCGTTTCTATAATCTAGTACGTAATATTAAAAAAATGGTTTTTATTCAAATAAAATCTAAACTTCGTAATACAAACCTCAAAAACCTCAGTAAAAATGAGTAATCATGAATGCATAAAAATAATCCAGATAGTTTTGTAATGAACAGTTGCGATTAAAAATCTACTCGGGTTTATTGTGGTTAAGAATTTTTGGAACTTTATCACAATAAACCTTTTCGTTATGTTAAGTTGCATATAATAATATATTTTCTTTTACTTTAATTTCCATTTATTTTACATTTGTACCTGTCTACATTAAATAACGATTATAGTGTTTATTTTAAGAATGGTTTTTAGCTAGATCAAGAGTATATCATATCTATAAATATCATATATAAAGGTAAAACCACGTAAGTGACATTTTAAATAAAAAGCCTTTAATTTAATAGCTATGATAAAAGAATCACTATCTTTCTGCACGTGAAACTCAATAACAAAAAGCGATAAACTTAATAAGAGTTTTATCTAAAAAAAATGGTGATTTTTCTTACAACAGGTACATAATTTGGAGATTTTTGCGGAGAATGTCACTTATTTTGGTTATACCTTTAAGAAAACGATATTTTCTTGTTTTATAATTAATTGCTGCAGTATTAAAAATTATGCATCAATGATCACTTTGCTTTCATTTTATTACTAGAAAATATAACCAAGTTTATTAATTAATATTATTATCCCTTAAGGTGACGACTGCAATACTTCAGAGAAGAAAAGGCGTAAAAACCAAACTACAAATTTGCGAGGAGAGTAAAAAATATATCTTTGTAGAACGTTCTGGTGTTTAATTTTTATAGCTATTTTTGCGTAAAAATGGTATTTTTTCACGAAAAGCAGTTCTTAGATTAAACAGGTGGAAAAAGCTTGAAAATTTACGAAGTACATAAATAGGTATTTTTTGATAAAATTGCTGTTTTTGCCTTTTCTCCTCCGAAGTATCGACTCCTATTATCATATGAGTGAATATGTCATTGAATAGTTTTTTACAGCCTATAAATTTACTAACTCGCGCTGATAATGTTTCCAGACTAGCAGCGGGGCTGGGGGAGGGGGTAGCACGGTGGTGGGGTCTGTAGGGGTTACTGGGGTCACAGGGAGCACGCGGGGTGACGCACGCGGAGGGTCACTGAGGACGCCGCTCGCGCGTACGCCGGTCACCTTTAACGCCTCCAATGTCGCCAGTGAGTATACTCCTTTACTGATGTAAGATTGGATGGAACTACTCAAATCCATATACTCCATTATCCATATCCGGAACTAACGGTTTCGAATTTGTTATATTGTACCCTCCTTCTTGATTTTAAATACATAAATAATTACTTTCTTCCTAGCCTAATTTTAGGACAAATTGTTATTAATAAACTACCAATATTATTGAAAATATTTTTCCTGGTTTAAGTCGCGTATATTTGTTTTGTATATTTGTATATGGGACTTGTAAAGGGCCCGAAACGTTGGTTTGTTTGAAAAAAAAAAACAAATATACGCGATTTAGATCCGAAATATAGTTCCATTTTCTATGTGTAACACACGCGAAAACCTAAGAACTCGATACCAATATTATTATTACTATGGATGGAATCTGAAATAAACAATATTTTGTTTTATTTATTTTTTATTTATTGCGATTTTTCTTCAATTACTGTCGTAATTTGGAACTTATAAATAAGGAGTTTCTTCAGTGTATCTTTAACCTGTTATGGTGAGGCTACATCACGTTAAGTTCTAGACTAACGTCGACACCCTCTGCTAATACATTTAAGGCACGCATTATTTAAATGATCATTTTAAATTTGCAAAAGCTGCAGGCAAAAATTTAAACAGCCGCCTTTTTGTAATGATTGATCTCATTGAGACATAAAATAAATTAAATTAATAGGTATTTTAACCTGTTCTGAGCTACGTAAGAAATGTTTGATTTGTATAAATTAACTATGATAGTTTTATGATTGGCCTCAAAACCTAAGACAAATGTGCAATAAAAATAAAATTGAGATGCTTATTTTTAAAACTCAGTAAATTTTGATTATATTTGTATACTAATATTATATCAATTATAATAATTATAATATGAGCTGAAAACATGTCCGGAAACGCAAGCAATTTGGCTTCTGCTTTTTCATATGTCAACCTAACCTACTAAATGGAGGGTGTAAACAAACAACCAAGATTTATTAGGAGATCGTATTAAAATATGTACTGATTACAAATATCATCAGTCGTTAAAAGAAAAAACCAATAATAAAAAAGAGGATCAAATATTATTTTTATATACCAAATATATCTTGAATTCAGTTCATTTCTAATTTATCCGTAGATCAACTAATATAGACGGAACAATTAATATATTTATATATGAAACAAAAAATATCGTTTATTTAAAAAGTGCACATTTACAATAGATCAATTATTTCTTTGAGGATCAAATATTATTCCTACCTTTAATCTGCACAAAGGCTCTAAGGCCCATACCATTCCACGAGGCTCTAGCCTTAATAGAATTCCTAAATTGGACTAATGTTACTGACGTGTTCAGTAATTCTCAATTTAATAGATGATCATCTCCCGAATCTCTATGATCGAAATTCCGCGTTTTGCTTACGGGCGGTAACCGACCCAACCCGTATTAACTATGGCTTACATGTTCAGTTACTGTTAATGTTAGCATAAGTTGTAACCGAAGAAGAAGTTGAAGGTTTTTCCTGTGACATATTGTTTGATTAACGGGGTTATTTGAATCTTTTTAATCTCTCTTTATTTATTTATTAAAAAAATCTATTGGTGTTTCTAGAAGCGAAATTACAAGCGGCGTTATCGGAGGAGAGCGGTTCATCGGCAGGCGCGAGTGGCGGTAGTTGCGGCTCGGCGCGGTACTGGGGCGCAGGCGCAGGCGCGGGGGCAGGCAAATTGCCGCACCTGCCGCCGCCGCCCTCCTAGCGCCCGCCCTCCGCGCGCCGCCTCGCCAAGGTAACTTGAGTTATCAGCAAATGCAACTAAAATCGAGAGTCAAATTGTGCTAGAAACATCAACAGAATCGCATCGTAATTTTGTTTAAAAATGATGCGTGTGAAATATTGTCACACTCGATGAATACCATTTTTCGTTTACTTTTATGTAATATGTAATAAACGAAAAGTTACTAACCAAGCAAACCCATTGCACCATGGCTGCGGTATTTATTATACCGCCATAGACAACGTTAAAGTACATTTCTGTATTTCACACCCTTGGTGTAATAAGGGCAGATATATAATAACATCTGCAGAATGAAAACTTTTCACGAGAAAGGTTAAAGATTCTTCGAACAAAATTTGTCTATTTTTGTTTTGTTACAAGAGATATAAACATTTTGACGTATGATCATATGTCGCCGGCTAAATTCGTAAACCTCGTAACCTCCATTATTTGATTACAATCTATGATTATATCTTTATTTTATAACTAGAAAAGGGTATACAAATTTATAAGTTTTAGTTGCCCAATATTCCGCTTAAAGAGTAATTATAACTTTTTTATAAAAAAAAAACGATCTCAACAGTTCGTGGAATTACATCTATTTGCCAAGTTTTGTTGAAATCGGTTACCGGAAAGCGCGTGAAACCGTATTCTTCCCCTAGTTTGTGACCTTAGATAAAGATGGGGGCCTATAACACTATACCTCTTTCCACCAAAAAAAAAAACATTAAAATCGGTTCATAAATCGGAGTAATCGCGTAACATATTTACACACTACACTACATATTTTGTGTGTGACAAAAAATACAGTCGAATTGAGACAACCTCCTCTTTTTTGAAGTCGGTTAAAAAAGGGATTTTGTCCAAAAACGGAGTTTTGACATTTAGCCGACGACGTGCCTTAATTATCGCATCACCAAGTCCTCCCGTGTCCGCACAGGTTAGCTCGCTAGAAGCGCCGCGGCGAGTGGGGTGCGCGGGCGCGGGCGCGGCGTGCGGCGCCCGGCTGGAGCTGGAGCGGCGCAGCCTCGACCTCGAGCGGGAGCTGCGCGCGCGCATCGACCGCGACTCCGACGCCTCCCTCGACGACCGCGACCACCTCGTCTGATCCACGTGCCACACCGCGTGCCGTGCTAACTCCTTCAGACTCGAAAAGTGCTCTGTGACGTTCGGCCCCGTTCGCCCCGCGACCCGCCTGCCCCGTTTCACTTAATACGGTTTTGTTATTAAAACTACTTACTTGTGGGTATATTGACGTCGTTAATTGGTTTCGATGCGACGGAATCGTATCCAGGGCGAAACGTTGCCCGATTATTGTTCACCCTAAATCCCGTCGTTGAACAAAAACGTTGCATTGGTTGAGATACGTAAAAAAGTGACTTCATTGGATAGAAATTATTGTAATTTTCTTTGTCTTCGATAATGACTGATTCGCTTTATATAAAAAATGTCCTAAGAATTTCGAGGCTCTTTAATTTACTTCCTAATCGTAAGTTTTTCAACGATTTCTATTCAATTAGTTACTATTGCAAAATATCCAAAAAATAAGCAGTGATAATTACAGAATTTGTATGAAACGTGTGGGTGATCTTCCTCGAAAATCGTGGTGTGCTGTGTGATTCTTCGCCACTGCCTTATATTGAACCTTGTAGTTTGGTTGTATCGAGTAGTAACTTAGTGAACTTTAAATCAGCATGAAGCGAATCGCAATGAACAAATATTTATGGTGCATGATAGGGTTCCTTCTTAATGGGTCAGTCGTTCGCTACGTGTTTAGAAATTTGTCACAATTAATTAATTCTCTTAAATCGACGCATTTGTATTGATCCGTGACCAATATAACAAGTTGCGTCGATTCGACAGAATGCATAGAAGCACTGGAGTGCTCCTTTTGATAAATGAATGATGTTGTTAAGCAAAAGCACAATCGTTTTCGTGTTCCTAATAGTTAATTGAATTATTTAAAAAAAAGTCTCAACGTAAGGCAGTGGACAAGTGACCAAAAAGACATTGCGCTTGGTGGCGTAACTCATTCTAGTGCATAACGGGAAAATTGATCTCAATAATAAAATAATGACTACGAAATGTAATTAATGGACATCTAGTGGAATTGTGCGAGAACCTAACGTGTTTACTGTTTTCTATGTATTATACATGTAACGTAAGGTAAGGACGAGAGTCGGTGTTAGTGCCTGCGAAGTCTGGTTTAGTGTTAGGAACCTCGACCACTGTTTAAGGGAAATCTTTGATCATTTTACCGAAACGACTTGTGATTTCGAGACGTGAATTTATTCGTTTCGCAGAACGTGCGTTTGGTGGAAAATTAGTAGAATCTTGCAATGTGTTAAACAAGATTTTAACTGAATTTCTTTTTCTCGCGCATTCTCTCGGCCCGGCCCTGCCTATTTTCGGGCCGCGAGTCGCACACCGCGAACGATCTCATCAATAACAAAACAAAAAATTCACTCTCGAAACCGTAGACTAAGCGAACTATTAACGTGTGTGACTAAATAACGTAACAATTTTCTACAGAATCAAATGTCATTTTAATTATAATTTTATAATTAGTGCTTTAAGTTTACTTTGATGTAATTAGTTAATTTCTGTCAAGTGATATAATGACGCTGTATTCATAATGAAATGGTGACCTTATAATCGGAATTCTTAAAGGATTTAAGGGTAGTTAGTTACAAGGCCTTTTAAGCTAGTTAAGGATATAAGCTATGCGAATTTTTGGTGGTTATAGCATAGTGGATGTTGTGATGCATTCATATTATGATTTAAGCGGTGGAACATAACGAAGCGCTCGTGTATTCGTACCACTAAGAGAAAACTCTGTGTACTGCCATATGTATATGGAAAGTTGCAATTATTACATATTTTAAGTACAGTTTTGGTATAATACAACGGTTTTACCGCTCCACTTGTGGACGGGTTCTTTTTTTTTTTGTATGATTTTGTTGTCGTCGATTTGTCAAACATATCATGGCAGTGAAATAACCAATCAAATAAAGAATGTTTTGATTTATTTGTGTTACAATGAATGTTGCAATGGGAAATATTTAAAGGTATTTATTTATCACACAGTAGATAGCTAAAGTACATTAGTAATAGTACCGATTGCTTTAGCTTATTATCGAAAGACGTAATCTTTAAAGGCGTTAAACACCAATTGCTTGCAAGTAAAGGACTATTGAGATATACATCATATTGGCTACCGATGTGGGTAGCGAAATCCGAGTGGGTATGGGGTATTCCGTTACTATTCAAATCTAAGCGGAAAGCAATACAGTCTTGATTTTCGTCCGTCTACACAATTACCTTACCTATTTCTGCCGCCAAGCAGTAATGTTAAGCGTTACTGCGTCGCGATTGGGAAGGGTAAGGGTGCTGGTGAAATTACAGGCACATGGGACTTGTCAACTTATGTCTCATGGCGTCGGGCGCTAGCGGCAGTGCCGGTCAGATCTTTGCGATTTAAAGCTGTGAATGGCACTGCAACTGTTATGGACAGTTGTGTAGCTTACCATCACGCGCACGACTCGTTAGTCCCTTCACTTGAAATTATAAAAAGGAATATATGTACCCTTTCAGTGAATAAGACCTCATTATAACTGAACGTAACGTGTAAACTTAATAAGTTTATCATTTAACAATTTCGACATTATAACCGCAAATAAGCCCCTCTAGTACGTAAACTACTCGTCACTGACTTGCAAGGTGGGAAATTTCACAAAGCAAGCGAAAAGATACCGCCGAATTTAAAAACGCACGGTATTTTTCACTACCCACAGCGGTAGCGAATATCGCTTATATCTTAATAGGCCTTAAGGTAGACTTTTCAATATACAAAAGGTTTTAATATCATAGACTGAAAAAAAATATTTAAAAAGTCTATTGTAAAGATTACTTACCACTTCCGGTTCTTACTTACGACACATATGCATTTAACAATGCGTCACAGCTTTTTTAACATTGTCTTTATGTTTGTTATATGTAAGGTTAAAATAAATATCTTCGTCGCTCTGAAATAGATGCAAGTGTGAAAAGGGCCTCGATCTAATTAATAGCACATTGCCATCGTACTTGCCTCTTCTTCAGTACGATTCGAATATTTGTCGCGACCAAGGAGTATGTACATTATGTGTTTAGTCGAACGAAGTAAGGGTGTCCAATGTCAATTCTGTATTTTCGAAAATACAAGAAAATCTGTTTCAACTGTTATAACTTTTTTGTAGAAATATGCTATAAATTTTATAAAAATGACATTTATTTTATTATCATTGGATTTCGTTTTTGAAAAATGATTTCCCCATTGTGAATTCAACAAAAAGAAATTTATCCATAAATATGTTTGACTCTGTATCTGTTTATTTACCTTTTTGTCTTCCTATTTATATTTGTAACTTTTTAAAAGGCCTATATTATGTGTATATTAAAAATGCATTTTTTATTTTCGTTTAGTTTTTAGATATGTTTCTTTCGGTATGTATGTTGTAACATACTTATTGTTTACAAACTTCATTATTATTTAGGTGGCAAACACACTTACTGATACAGACAACGTTTCTGAATACTAATCGTAAAATGAATAGCATTTTCACGCTACACACGTGAATTGCGAATGTGTAGAAACGGTTATCGTCTGTGAGCTGTATGTGTGTTTCATCTTACGAATCGATTATCTTATTTTTCCGACGGAATACTTTTTTTTACGATTGAGGGGGCTTTTATGGAAATCAATGAACTTTTTTTATTTAATTTGATTTTCAAATAGTTTATTTTTAGCATGAGGAATTAATCGATAAAAGGAAAGTCGATGTAGTTGTTCGAATCTTTTTATCCAGATGAGTTTTTTTAACATTTGCAATTGGCTTGCAGTTAACTGCAACTGCAGCTGCCGTGAACAAAAGGGAATACAGGATATATTTAGACAATTTTATACTAAAACCCCCAATAATTAAAAAA